TGTGTGTGTGTTTGTGTGTGTTATTGTGTTTGTATGTGTGTGTGTTTGTGTTTATGTGTGTGTTTTGTGTTTGTGTGTGTTGTTTGTGTTTATGTGTGTGTTTTTTGTGTTTGTGTGTGTTTGTTTTTTTTTGTGTTGTGTGTGTGTGTGTGTGTTGTGTGTGTGTGTTTGTATGTGTGTGTATTTATGTGTGTTTGTGCATGTGTGCAATGGTAGTAGTACTAGTAGTAGTACTAGTAGTAAGTATACGTTGCTAGCAATGATAGAGGTGACGGCAGCAGTGTGAATACTTCATAAATATCGGAAGTATTACAGGGTACCCTTGGATAAGTGTTATAAGTGTAGGTTCCAGTGGCGTAAAAAAGTGTACCTGTCAAGATTTATGTGTGGTACTCCTTTACAGGCGGCGGAGTGGTACATAGATGAAAATGCTGATTTTAGTAGTATTTATTGCACTGTGTAAGTGTTAGCGAAAGTGGGAAAAGGTGTACATGAAAAGATCTACACGTATGGTACGCCTTGTGTGGATGTTGGCAGTGGTTGTAGTACTGTATGGTAGATTATCGTTCAGATTGTAGTACCAGTATGAAAAAGTTTATGTGTACAGCTCGACATATGATAGAAATGTGTAAGGCAAATGTTGGTAGAAATGGTAGGGAAGGTGGTGGTGGTGGTAGAGGAGGTTGTGGTGGTGGTAGAATAGGTTGTGGTAGTGGTGGTAGAAGAGGTAGTGGTGGTGGTGGTGGAGGAGATTGTGGTGTTAGTGCAGAGGAGGTGTGGTGGCAGAGAAGGTAGTGGTGGTGGTGGTGGTAGAGGAGGTAATAGTAGTGGTGGTAGAGGAGGTAGTGGTGGTGGTAGAAGAGGTGGCAGAGGAGGTAGTGGTGGTAGACGAGGTAACAGTAGTAGTGCTAGAGGAGGTAATGGTGGCAGAGGAGGTAGATGGCCGGTGGGCAGAGGAGGTAGAGGTGGTGGTGGCAGTGTGGTTAGCGGGAGTAAGAGTCAGGGTCCTTCAACCCCCGAGGGCAGCCACGATTTCTTGCCACCGTGCTGCATCCGGTGGCGGTGGCAGCATCACGCTACCCCTCTCCCTCCCTCTCTCTTTCTATTCTCTCTCTCTCTCTCCTTTTCTTTCCCTCTGTCTTTCTTTTTCTCTCTCTCTCTCTTCTCTCTCTTTCTCTTTTCTCTCTCTCTCTTTTCTCTTTCTCTCTTCTCTTTTCTCTTTATCTCTCTCTATTCTCTCTCTCTCTCTCTTTCTCTCTTTATTTCTTTCTCTCTTTCTTTCTCTTTATCTCTCTCTCTTTCTTTCTTTCTTTCTCTTTATCTCTCTCTCTATCCATCTATCTCTCTATGTCTATCTATCTCTCTATCAATCTCTCTTTTTTATTTCTTTATCTCCTCTCTCTTCTCTCCTCCTCTCTCTCTCTTCACTCTCTCTCTCTCTCTCTCTCTCCCCCTCTCTCTCTCTCTCTCTCTCTTCTCTCTCTCTCTCTCTCTCTCTCTCTCTCTCTCTCTCTCTCTCTCTCTCTCTCTCTCTCTCTCTCTCTCTCTCTCTCTTTCTCATCCTCCCTCTCTCTCACCCTCCCTCTCCTCCATCCTCCCTCTCTCTCATCCTCCCTCTCCTCCCCTTCCCTTTCTAGCAGTTCATCCCTTCTGTCCTGTGTCGCCTATTTTCTTTTCGTTTTTTTCCTGTTCTCCTTGTTTCTCTTTTCTTCCCCCCTCTATTGTGCTACTCTTTGATGTCTGTTTTCCTTCCTTGTGTGNAGAGTGAGAGTATGATGGAAATCAGAGTAGTTAGATGGAGACGTGAGTTTTGACGCATAGTAGTATTTCAAGTAGTGGACCCGAAAGCTAAGCTAACAAAAGACAGATGTAAGTGTGGTAGTTAGTACAATAGTAATAGTAGAGATGTGTTGAGTAGGTAGAGAGAAATGAGTAGTAGAGTATAAGTAAGAAAAAGAAATAGTAGTGGTAGTGAGGATAGTAGTAGTAGTAGTAGTAGTAGTGGTGGTGGCGGTGGTGGCTAGTAGTAGTAGTAGTAGTAGTAGTAGTAGTAGTAGTAGTAGTATAGTAGTGTAGTGTAGTAGTAGTAGTAGTAGTAGTAATAGTAGTAGTAGTAGTAGTAGTAAGTAGTAGTAGTAGTAGTAAAGTAGTAGTGAAGTAGTAGTAGTAGTAAGTAGTAGTAGTAGTGTAAGTAGTAGTAAGTAGTAGTAAGTAGTAAAGTAGTAGTAGTTAGTAGTAGTATAGTTAGTATAGTAGTAGTAGTAGGTAGTAGTAGTAGTAGTAGTAGTAGTCAGTAGTAGTAATAGTAGTAGTAGTATAGTAGTAGTAGTAGTAGTAGTAGTAGTAGTAGTAGTAGTAGTAATAGTAGTAGTAAATAGTAGTTAGTAGTAGTAGTAGTATGTAGTAATTAGTAGTAGTAGTAGTAATAGTAGTAGTAGTAGTAGTAGTAGTAGTAGTAGTAAGTAATAGTATAGTAGTAAGAGTAAGTATAGTAGTAGTA